GGGGAAAAAAAAAAACTGCGTGCGACAAATAATAGAGCTCATTGGAAAATGTGGTTCCTGAGTCCGAAAATATTACCCCCACCCTCTCTTTGTTTCATTAATTCTACAAGATAGCCCCCCTTGTTATTGTACTCAAGGATGCCGAGTCCCTCCCCGATTCTCGCGTGTGTGTGTGCACGCACAACCCCCCCCGTCTCCTGTCACGAGATACTTTATAAGTGCACAGGTGCACTGTCTTTTCCCGTAAATGTTTTCTCTCGACCAAAGTATTAATTATGCATGCATTATTGATAGCGTTGTTAATTTCTATACAAACACGGTCTGTGTAATGTCACTTTTTTTTTCCTATACGCAAAGTAATCAATGCTTGTGAGTTGCAACATTACTTATGCAATTCTATGCGCAGCCAGTTACAATCCTGCATTGTGTTTTGTATTATAAGCCATTAAATAATACTCACGATCAACGTTTCCTCCCCATGCTCCTACAATTGCCCATTCGAGAGAGAGAGAGAGTTGTATCATTGCTATGTCTGTGCTTCTCTGCGCATGAAGAGCTCAAAATCGGCCGATTTACAGCTCTTTCCGACTGCCTTTGTGGAACTTTTTGCGCAGACTTTGCATGTGAACCTTTGCACAAAAATTCGACTGCAATTTGAACACTTCGTCAGGTGGATCAGATGATGCTTCTTTCAATTCCAAAATCATTTGGAACCTCCAAGCCACGCGTTTAAGTTGTTCCAGCTCCTTTCGTCTACACAGTTTACGTTATTATCTCAATGGTACCATCCTGGCTCCGATTCGGTACTTCGTGAACCCGTTCTACTGCGGCAGCACAGCACCAAGACGTGGTCTCGCTAAACTGAATTAACTTTAACTTTGAACACTTGTAGAGATATTCCCTCTGTGTGATGGACAGGGGGCACCCACGTCCTGTAAGCTGTCCCAGGTCTACCAATCTGTTGTCTCTGTTTACCAATCAACAGATCTCTGTGACGTTCACCGTTTAATTTACAGGGTGGGGTGAGTGATATTGGCTGCCGTCGATGGATAGACTATATAGGGCAGCATAAGGAATGGAGTTGGAAATTCCTGCTTTATCAAAACTTCACTTTAATGTGCAATTTCTCACAGAAGCATCTCCACCTTGCAGGGCTATTTTACATTGAACACGGTGCTTTGGGAGCGGATTATCACGCAGGAGGGAAGGATTACTTATGGCCAGTTTCCATGATCTCCACTGATGTCCGGCAGCATTTCCAACCCTTGAAGATAACGGCAGCGTTTATCTACAAAGCCCGGGGCTTAATTTCTGGCAGCGTAAGTGCTGTCTCGGATAGAGTCGCGTGATGGAAGGCGTTAGGGTGATACGAGAAAACCTGACGGTGAATTCTTCATGTTTTGTACACAGGCGGGTCCACGATTTCAGACGAAACCTTCTCGTACGCTCTAAAGATGCGCGTTATCATTGTTATAATCGTGACGTGATGTTGTTTGTTTTCACTTTGAAATAGTGCGTCAATCAATTAGGACTTTAATTCGGAGGGAAATAATGCGTCCCATTATCTTGATAAGGGATACATGGGTCGTCAAACAATGCAGTTCCGGATGTACTCGGACAGAATTACATTTTCATAATGCTGAAGTGGTGATGGTGTGTACACAGGCCAAACCTTTGCTTTAAATAATCCGTACGCTCCAACAAATATTATTGCCCTCAAAATGACTCCTCGCGGTGTTTCATTAGGATAATTTTGAAAGTTTCACCACGAGGTTTCCTATTTTACAAAACGGCCCACGGATGATCTCGGGCAGATTAAATTTTTGAGTTTTATCCGGGTTTCTGTGGTTTCCTCCCACAACGTATTAACACTACCAAAAAAATCCTTAAATAAAAAAAAATGCAGGAGCCTCCTGAAAAAAACATAATAATCCTACACCTCAGTGTGGCTTCGAGGGATACATAATAAAACAATGATTATACATTCGTGTTCTTACTTGGGAGATTTATTAAAAATAAGGGAAATCTGAGATCCTAGAGTTATTTAAGCAACCAATACCTGAAAGGCACAGTTAAGCCTTCACACGGCAGTATATTGACATAGGGCTGTAAGTAATTTCAAGCAGTTTATGAGGTTTTTTTTAAACGTATTATTACGTTGGATTCAGGCTGAAGAACTAACACAATGGCTTACGCTTTCAACTGCTCTATACAATATTCCATTTTCGATCAAAAATTATATTCATGACATGACACTGCATATCGTATTTAAACGCCATACCAATGTCCCTGAAGAAGAACATTTTCAATCATTGCATTCAGCCATCTGTGACGCGGCTCAGAAAAAAAATGGTACACTGGCGAATGAAATGGCACATAAACTGAAATGAACACAAAGAAATGCAAACATATTCACGGTCGGATTTATATTCGGAGACAGGAAAGGGAGCAGGTGAATCGGGTTACAAAGAGAGAAGTAAGTCTTGACTGTTACACCTTTTGCAAGGAATCAAGTCTGCATTAACCACACAGTACTTGTGGTGAACATGCAAACAAACATGCTCTGAAAATATATGCATCGTCTTTGAAACTGGTTGGCCTGCACTGGCAAAAAAGAGGTCCCATGATAGGAGTGAGATGGTTTGTTGCGTCGTGTGACAACGTTGGACCAGGAAAGCAATCATCCCGCAGTTGGTAGACCATAACTGACGATGCTGCCCCCAAGAAGGTTTGTTTACAATAATGTAATTTTTTTAAAAATTTACCTTCGGAAACATTTTTAAAAAAAGAGGTTCCCATAATAATGCACGGTCCCTGTGTTAGCTCGACATTGATTTGCGTCAATGCAAGAAAACAAAGCGAGGAATTGTAACCCTGATTAGTTCAGATTGCGTAACAAATATTGTGCTCTCACGGGCTCGGCTATTCAGCTAACTTACAGGGCGCCCTTGACATTCACTTAGACTATGCAGCACATTCATTGTTTGCAATTACCGACTTGTTAATAATATATGACAATTAAAATCAAGTGTTCCCGGAGGAGAGATGGAGAGACATAGCTCAAAGGCACCACTTAACCATACCTGTTTATGTAAGCTTTACTAAATGTGTGTAATTATATGAAAGATGTATGTCACTTGGTATTTTAAATATCAATTTATCCTCCTGTTCTGTTCTGTAAATATTTTTTGTTTTAACATTTTCTACGTGTGTGTATTTAACCCAAAAACCTTTATTATGAATAATATTGGTCGCGAAAGCCTACATGTTAAACTATTCCTGGCCATGGCTAACATAAATGGTGAATGATATCGCAACCGTTCCTGGCCTTCCGATAGGTCGACTCAGCCTTAAATGAGTATCTGGTGCAGTGTCTAGACATCAGCACTTGGGCGACAAAGGTGGCCGGGCATGGCAATGGCTACACTCCCTCGTCTCCTGCGAATTTCCGGCTGTCTTAGGTGCTCGCTAAAAGCATTTGCCCCAACAGTCTATGCAGGCTACACGGAGGATCTTTGTCTTTGTTAAAGTATTTGTATATCTCGGTGCTCACGAACAACACTTGCTTCTAATTCAAAAGTCTTCAAAGGTTTTGACTTTTTGGGTTTCATCAGCAGGGTGTAACGTATCAAAAATCTGAATTACTGTTGAATCTGCTGATGGCTCAGATAAGTTGACGTTCATCTAGGGTTACCTGGTTTTAAAAATGTTCTACTGTGCAACAGTGCTGCGTCAGGCAATAGTGCTGCGCCAGGCAACAGTGCTGCATCAGGCACTGGTGCTGTATCAGGCAATAGTGCTGTGCCAGGCACTGGTGCTGTATCAGGCAACAGTGCTGCGTCAGGCACCGGTGCTGCATCAGGCACTGGTGCTGTATCAAGCAATAGTGCTGTATCAGGCAACAGTGCTGTGCCAGGCACCGGTGCTGTATCAGGCACTGGTGCTGTATCAAGCAATAGTGCTGTGCCAGGCACTGCTGCTGCATCAGGCACTGGTGCTGTATCAGGCAACAGTGCTGCATCAGGCACTGGTGCTGTATCAGGCAACAGTGCTGCGTCAGGCACCGGTGCTGCATCAGGCACTGGTGCTGTATCAGGAAATAGTGCTGCGCCAGGCAATTGTGGTGGTGAAATAACCCCTCGGTAGCACGTTCACCACTTGTTGCAAAGGTCCGCGATTGGAATCCAGCGTCCGCCCTGGTAATTACTCTGCGAGTAACAAGCACCATAATGTGCGCTGTCCGCTTCACGGTGAATGCTAAAACATCCCCCGGTGTCAAGCGCAAGGGTGGGCCATTGTGTGCTGGCGTCAGGGTCCAAATTTGGCAAGTTTGAAAAACGTAACCGCAACTTACTCATTTGGAGTTTTTTTTTTTTACATCGCGCCTAGCGCCCTCTACTGCACTCAGCAGGACCCTCTTGGGGGGATAAATCGCTCAGAATGAATTAGCCACGTGACTCATCATCCACCAAACAATGCACATGATATGAATCCGTTCAACAAAGCAAGATGGAAAACTCTAAGCATAATCTGTGGGTAATAGGACAACAGATGATTGGAGTTTATTTTCTTTCCCTGAAACTACAGCTCCAGCAGACAAGAGGAGTTGTGGGTAATCGGGTCACAGATAAGAGGAGTTCTCACGTGGGTATCTTGTGCAGTTTGCTTGGAGCAGGCGCAATGAACTCACTTGATTCATGCCAATTGATCCAGCGTGAGCCGTGCGTCACGGGAGTTGATCGATAGGAGCGTCGGGGAGGAGTTTGACGGCAGTGCCCGGGGGTGTTTTTCTTCGTTGGTCGCCAATTGTGATGCAGACATATTTGAAAGGTACCAGGCAGATGCCCGGGAGACAATTGGCACGAGCCTGAACGGACGTGGGGAAGAGCATGCGACCGTGCGAAACACCCCCCCGCCCCCCCCAAAAAAAACTTTTAGCAACAATAACACCCCCCCCCACACACACACACACCAGTTCCTGAAGAACTGTGTCTGCACAGGCGAGGAGCGCATCGGGGTGGACGCCCCGTATGAGCAAGAAGGGAAGGTGCCGTTCGTGATCGACGCGGTGTACGCCATGGCGCACGCGCTGCACAGCATGCACCAGGAGCTGTGCCCGGACGCCGTGGGGCTCTGCCCGCGCATGAACCCCGTCAACGGGCAGGAGCTGCTGCGCTACATTCGCAAGGTCAACTTCACAGGTGAAACGCGACCCCCTACCGCAGACCCGCGCGGTCCCATGGTGATCGCTCGCTCAGCCCGCACGCGCTGGGCGTGCTCGGCAGCTTGCCCTCGTTTGAAGATGCGGCGGCAGCGGCAGGGAGGGGAGGGGGGCAGACAAACAACTTAAGAGGCACAACATCTTCGCTGACGTTAGATACACTTTAAATAAACCGTTCAAGTCCGAACTAAATGGAGTAATGAAACGACCGCACCCCCAATTAGCACGGTTGGCTACGTACGGCGCGAGAGAAGTTCAACGTACACGCAACATCACCGACATTAGATAAACTTGAATCGACCATTAAAGGCTGAGCAGAATGGGTAACGATACGATCTGCTTTCGAGCAAGAGCCCTGGGCGCTCCTCGATTGTAGATTAGCCTGGAAGTGCACGCATTCTGATTCGCTGTAACCGAGACAAAAAACACACGGGCACACTCCTTACGGTCAAGCGTGTTCGCCAAACTGGCAAATGTTGAATTAAAACCCTCCGCTGGCATTACATATTTTAGCAATTTTTTTTTTATTTGCTATAAGAATGCATATTTGGGGAGGGGGATGGCTGAGGAGGGTGCTGAGCTTTCAGCAGAGGGGGAACAGCCCCATGCAGCCCCCCACACTCCACCAACAAACTCACTGTGGAGCTCGCGCGCGTGTGCATGCGCATGTGTGTGTGTGTGTGCTCATACATGCGTGTGAGCGCACAAAGATGCACATTTACAGAGCCAAAGACACGCACACTCGGATGTGTTCGTGTACCCCGACATACACATATATACTTACAGCTTGCGTTTAGCATAATAGACCATGTGGCCAAGCACTGTTAGGAAGCAGCACCTATTAAGGCTGATATACAACACAACGTGGTGGTGGTGGTAGTCAAGTCAGCCCCCACATCAAGCTCACCTTCGTCTCCCCAGCGCTAATGTTTACACACCGCACCATGCTCTGATTTTAGGCTGAGCTCACCTAAGGATGGCCCGTAATAATTCAGATATGTGACGACATCGCCACAGCACTTTCCCCTAGCTAGGTGGACTTTGAAGTAGCGTTAAGTGTCGAAGGCTCACTGGCAGGGGGCCGGTCACGGGACAGACCCACGTGTTGTGCATTAACTGAATGAGATGACTGGCAAATGCATCACCTTCGCTCCGCACTGCCAACTTGCTCTGTTTTAGTTCGCCCGACGCTGTGCTCATTGTCGTGAACACTGCTCCTCTGCCCTCCATCGTTGCCAAAGGACGATCGCTTCCAACTGCTCGCAAGACACATTTGCGCGTTGCAATGTTGGTGACGGATTAATTGAAACGTAGCCCAATGCTTTGATTTCATATTGACCTGAAATTGCGCGACCGCTTTGGACGTAAAACTTCGATGTTGCATTTGTATTGCTTACTACCGCCGATAGCCAACTGTGAGCTGCTGCTGCTGCTGCTGCTGCAGTAGTGATACAAGCGTGTGTTGGGCACGTGAAAAATCAGGGATGTCAAACTAAAACCACCTGATTATTTGTCCACGTCAAGAATTGTCAGCAGCCAAACTCAGATCGGAAATGTCCCTAAAGGTCACTGGAAGCAGAGAAATGAAAAGGTGGCCTTAATGGGAAGATCAGAATAGAGCAAGAGCTAATGTATCTTTGCCCATTCATTGCACCTGCCCCTGCCTGGGCTGTAATCTGACACGACAAAGCCGGCTTAGAGGAAACATTTGTGACTCATGAATAGCGTATCCTTTGTAGTTCTCCAATGACAAAGTGAAACTCATGAAACTTTCTATAACAAAAGGTCACGGAGTATTTCTTTCCGAGTGGTGGTACAGCAGTTGGCTATGATCCCAACCAGCTGATCAGATCAGAGAGCTATTTTTTTGTAGAATCTGATCATAAAGAATATAACATGGCTGCAGGAGTCACACTTATATTTTGGAGGCAAGGGTCGGGGAGACTCCTATACCAGCTGGGGTGTGAGGTGACCAGGAGATTAATGATTAATGTGGGCTCAAGAACCTGCCTGAGTGGACATTTGAATTATCCCCTCGTACGCAGGGATTTTCCCATGGATTTGTGCTCATTGATATTTGTAATGCATTGTTCAATTGTACGTGTGAATGTTTTTATTTTATTTTGTATATATATACAAATCTTCCAGTATAAATAAGGAAGTAAATTTGGGATTGGGACCATTCCTGTAGCACAAAGGGTATGCTATATGGGATCAGAGTACATACCATTGTTCCTAAGAACATCATATAACATTTATTCTCTTTGCTAAAACACAATTGCATTCATTCTTAAGTACATGTTTACCTTGTATTAATTAATTGCACATTAATCGCACGCTCTCCCTGGTATAATTAAGTAAGATCAAATATGCATGGTTAACTGCTGTGCCAGGAAATTGTCTCAAGCATTACCTTGAGAATAGGAGGGACACGAAGTGAAATGGTTAACAGCGGCATCTGCATCGTAGACATCGGCAAACACATTCCACACCATCCATCAGCTCACTGATTTAACACACTGCGCGTATCTGATCGACAGATTGATTGATTCACTTTATATTACCGGGAGACACACCAACGGAGATTCTTGTCTCTTTTCCCAGGGTGACATCGGTCCAAAAGTGACAGCCAATGCCAATACAAAGTAACACAGAGAAAGGAAAGGTCCCAGACAGAAAGTTTGCCCTAGGAAAGGGAACCATTCCCTCGTTATTCACGAATTTTCTATCTCGAACCTTAATATTCAGTGCAGTTTTGCTGGGTACATAAAAGGGGATTATTTACAGTCTGGTCTCCTATCATGCGGTGGTTGCGATCCTGAGGAACGAGGGTGTTATGGGAAAATCGCGTAATAATAAATGATATATAATATGGAGGTAATGCACAGTCCGCGATAACACGTGAGATGCATACGCAGGCTGAACAAAGAGGCGCGTGGGTAGCATCTAGAAGAATCCAGCAGCATCCCGCCTTGTGCGATGCTACGCCGAGGCAGCCGTACAACAGCGTATTCCTACTCGTGCGACGTAGTTCTGTTCACTCGATCACGTTATATCCAATTCGCATCCACGTGATAAAATGAAAAAAAACGTGTTCCCTAATACATTCATCGTGCTCTGTCCAACTCGCGTCATGAAAATGCACGGTGTCTTAGAGCGGACTGTACATTCCCGTAGAATGTGGGGCATGAATCGAGGTGGCTCCATTGCTGGCAATGAAATTCAAATTTTCATAACCACATGGCATCATTGTGTTCATCCATTTGTTGTGTTTTGCTTCGCTTAAAATGCACAACCATAATTCACGTTGGTTCATTTTGATTATTGTCACAACGACGTTTAGGGATTTGATTTTAGCTCCTGCTTAATATGGGACCATGTGAATCCATTTCAATTATGCAGAGAAACTTAATTCTAAAATGATGTATCTTAGGTGGCAGGGTACTTATATGTAAATACACACAGATATATATTTATAGCCTTGCCTATTTTCCTTTCATTTGTCTCATCATTGTGCCAACACTCCCACAAAAAAAGTCAAAGACCCCCCGTATAGCCTTTAACAGACCGTTGGGGCAAGTGATATTTGCGGGGACCTATGAATGCTGGCACAGCACACGAGGTGGTGGATGTCCAGCAGCATCACACACTGCCACCTTTGCCTCCCGAGTGGTGATGTTTACACATCGTATCAGGTACTCATTTGAGGCTGAGTTGACCTATGGGAGTCCCAGCATGCTAACCACTGCACCAACGATCCCACACCACTCGAACACTTCTCCCCCTTCCCACACAGGCACAAGCAAACATACAAACTCCATCCACACTTCACCGCCAAGTAGCAGTGATGTTATCATGGCATATGTGCCAGGCTAAGTGCAAAAGGCTTGCTGGTAGGTCACGAGACAGGTGTAGAATTCATGGCTCCACTGCTCAAGGTCACAGAGAAATACAAAATGCACAATTCCCTTGTTCCAAATGCCTGCGTTATATTTACCCAATGCTCTACTCATTGTGCGCATCGCTCCTCCGTCTCCCATTGTTGCTGCCAGCTGCTCGGCATCATCTTTCACGTAAATATTCACACGCACTTGGAACAAGAGATGCCCCATACAGCCCTACACACTATTCAAGCAAGTGCTGTTAGAGAGCACCTATGAGTTCTGGCACGGCACACAATTGGATGGGTGTCCAGCACCACGCCCAGCCGCCTTTGTCTCACACCGCACCAGCTACTCATTTGAGGCTGAGTCAACCTAGGGGAGGCCCAGAACCGGTTCAGATAATCGTCACTGGCGGTGGCCGTGAGCGGGAATCAAACCTGGGTCGTGGGGGTTTGTAGCACAGCATGCTAACCACTACACTACCGCTCCCCACCACCTAAACAAAGACAAAGATCCCCCGTATAGCCTGAACAGACTTTTGTGGTAAGTGTTGTTAGCGAGCACTTATGAAGGTTGGTATGCCACACGAGGAGGCTGGTGGCCAACACCTCGTACACACGCGCGCACACATGTATCACGTGTTGGTTTGTGACAGCGTGACTCGCCAAGGGTTTCGCGTGATGGATAGCTCTCGTTAAAAACGTATTTGTCCAAACTTATGCTGGAGAAATTACAGGATTGCGTCGATTGGGGAGCTGTGGATAAAGCTGCCACACATTGACATTTGCCAGTGTCACGCAAATCTGCTCGAGTTCACTCTGTTCGGCTAAGATTGGTCCCATTGCACGTTTGTTGGAACCAAGTACCACAACTTGCAGTAAGTAGCCTCGAACGTTATTATAATTGAGGCACTGTGGAGCGGTACTTAAGCCAAAGAGATGTAGGGCTACTTTTGTGGCTTTGAATGTTTGCACGGGGAGAATAGGAAACGTGCCATGGCTCTTGGGTGGCAAGGGGACTTCAAGCTCCATTACAGCCGATAAAAAAAGGAAATGAGCCATTTTATTTACTCATAATCCCATAGATAATAGCAACT